TGAAATTTCTGTAGTATATATAAATGACTTTCACAGTGGAAAGTATTTTAAAGTTATCATTTAACTAAATTATTGTGACAAGAAAAAAAAAATCCTATTTTTATTTCTAAAAGGTTTGGAATGTCTTAAACATTGGAATAATGTGACAATTATGTTAAATGACATTCAAATGGCCTAAAATCACCCACATGCTAGTAGTAGAAGGTGGCCGTCACATCATGGATTGAGGAGTATGATGCTCAGTTTTCCATTACTACAATCCTTGCTACTTAGGAGGCAGAGATCAGGAGGATTGTGGTTTGAGGCTAGCCTGTGCAAAATGAAAGTGAGACCCTATCTCAAAAAAATCCATCACACAAAAGTCTGGCAGGGTGGCCCAAGTGGTAATGTGCCTGCCTAGCAAGCATGAGGGCCTGAGTTCTGAACCCCAGTACTGCAAAAAAAAAAAAAAAGCCACAAAACAACAACAACAACAAAAAGTCGGATTGTATGGGTGGGATGTAGCTGCTGCAGGTGAGGAATGTGAGCCGTGTTCTCTGATTCTCCTGCACACTGCTCTGTGCCTTCAAGGGCTACATCAGGACAGTTCAGAACACCCCATGCTTGGGATAGATGATCAAGGCCTGTTGAACTAGTGAGGACAATTGTGCACCCAGCTGCCACCCCTGTCCCTGCTGACAAGTCCCATGTCCAATCAGTGGGAGAGTCCCTCTTCTTGCTCTCATGAAGTCTCCTGTCTGAGCTTCCATTCTGTGCCTGCTTCTTCCTTCTGTCAGCTGCCACCTCTGTCTAGCCCCCTCCTTCACTCTGGGGTGACTGCAGAGGTCATCACCCCCCTCATAAAGCTGCCCTCCAGACTGGAGGCTGAGTGATGGTGGTTCTAAAATGCCAAGTTGATTATTCACCCTGCTTTAAATCTTCCAGTGAGTCCCTGTTATGTCCTGATCATCTCCACACAGGCCCTTCCACCTTGAGTTACCCCAAGGAGAGCCTCCCTCTGTCTTCTAGAACATTCTTCCTCTCTTTTCTACCAACAAGTCTTTCAAACCCTGGATCCTATACACCTTCCAAGGCTCCCTGTTCTGAGTTCCAAGGCCTCCTCTGCTCCCAAGTCAGCCCCTGTGGCCCCTTCGCTTGGTTCATCCTGCCATGTCAGTTCATGTCCTCAACCAGCAGGCCGCCAAGCACGGGCACCCTGAGGACTGGGCCCTGCCTTGCTCAGACTGGCATCTCCAGTGTCCAAAGAATTCTTGCACACAGCACTTGGCATAGTTCTAAAGACTTTATAAATATTAACTGTATTGTCTGTTTTCTGATGCTAATGATCCAATATCACAGAGTGGGTGAATATAAAGAGAAGAGGTTTATTTTGGCTCACAGTTCTGGTCCAAGGGTGAGGGCCCACATTTGGCGATGGCCTTCTTGTTGGCAGAGTCCCCAGGAGGAGTCGAGCATCATTGGCAAGAAATGAGGAGTGCACATGTGTGTCTCTTCTAGTCTTTCCTTATAAAGCTACAGGAAGCTGGGTGCTGGTGGCTCACGCCTGTAATCCTAGCTACTTAGGAGGCAGAGATCAGGAGGATCGAGGTTTGAAGCCAGCCTGGGCAAATAGTTCGAGAAACCCTATCTTGAAAATACCCAACACAAAACAGGGCTGGTGGAGTGGCTCAAGTGGTAAAGTACCTGCTTAGCAAGCGTGAAGCCCTGGGTTTACAACTCTGTAACACATACACACACGTGCTACCAGGATTCAACCATGGGGCTCTGCCCTCATGACCTTATCTAACACTAATCTCTCTACACACTATGTTGGAGTGAGTTTCTTCCCTGTAAATACCTCACGGTGGTGACTGAATTTCAACACGAGACTTTGGGGGACACACTCAAACTCATTAAAACTGTCATAATGTGAGCATTAACACACACAATTCCCACCACAAGTCACGGTTAGAATGTGTGAGCCATCATTCAACACAGATTGCCTAGTGAAGGCCATGTACAATTTAAAAAGTGAAGGAGACGTGTACCCTTCTGATCTCAGTGTTTTTAATCTGTTAGGCAAATGGATGACAAAAAGGCATATAATACAGTGTGAAGCAAGGATAAAGGAAGCAAACATGACAGGTGTCATTTCAGATGAGATGGTCAGGCAAGGCAATCTGACAAGGGGACATCTGAGCACAGGCTTGAGTAAAGTGAGCAGTGAGCCCCATTGTGTGTGCGTGCATGTGTGTGCGTGCGTGGGGAAGGGGCACAGTGAAGAAAAAGTTCAAAGAGATAAGTGTAGGCTCAGCCTGCATGGTGCACAGTGCAGGACCAACATGCTGGAATGAGGCTTATAGGGCAATAAGTGGAAGGCAGTGAAATACGCAAGACTATGGCTTAGGCAGAGCCCTTCAGGTATCCTGAGGACTTCGGAGTTTAAGCGTGATGGGAATTCAATGGTAGGTGTGGAGCTGGTGGGACTTCATGTGACTTACTTTTTAAAGGCTCACTCTGGCTGCTGAGCAGAGAGAGACCATGGCTGTGAGGAACAATGTTGGAAGAACAGTGGTGAGAACAGTGGTCCCCATATTGATGGTGACTGGGACACTCCCCTGAGGGCATGGGGAGAAAGGCTTAGCCTCTGCATGCATTTTGCACCAGATTGGCTGTAGAATGTCTTGGAATAAAGGGGAAACCTGGATGGCTTCATGGTTTGCAGCCAACTGGTAGACTGGTGATGCCAGTTGTTATTGAGAGAGGAATGGTCTCGGGGCAGGGTTGTTTCAGACATGTAAGTTTGAGTTGCTGCCAGGATTTAGTTTTGTCTTCTATGGTGTGGGGATAATAATGTTTGTTTTATACATTTTTAACGTGAATCAAATTGGATTTTTTGCGGGGGGGAGTGCTATGTAGAGCCAATACCCATTTTTTAGCCACACTGAGGCTAGGGTAGAGTTCCCTGCAAAAGAACACAAAGAAAACTCCATCTGTTAGAGGAGTTATTGCTCTCACATCAAGGAATGACACTGATAATAGGACCAGTCTCCACATTTATTTCACATTTATTATAGTGTTTATATAGGTTACATATACAGGTTAACATTTATATAGAGCATCTAAGTAGGTTATATGTAATAATACAATAAACAATTAGAATATATTATATACATCTATATACAACATTTCTATATGTGTACTAGATACCATTCTCAGGACCTCATAATCTATTTAGAATATACTTTATACTCATTTTACAGATGCATGGGTGGCACAGAGAAGCAATTTGTTGCTGGAGGTGTGGCTCAAGCAATAGAGCGCCTGTCTAGCTAGCGCAAGGCCCTGAGTTCAAACCTTAGTACCAGCAAAACAAACCCAAAACTGACAGAGATAGGCAAGTAATTTGTTTCAGGTCCCACTGCCAATAAATGGCAGGCCCAGAAATTAACCCCAGCAGCTCTGCTTCTGGCCAACTAAGCCACACTGCTTGCCAGCACCGTCCTGCCCTGCAGGCATTCCTGCTTTGGTTCTTACAAAACCTGTGTTCAGAAGAAGCCTGTCAGTATTGATGGCAACACCCCTTTTGTCTCAGCCCTCCTCAGGCCACAGCGCATCACCCCTAAGCTATGTCCTTTCTTCCAGTGTCCTGAGGTCAACTCCTCCCGGTATTATCACACACAGGCTTTTTGGTATTCTGCTCTCTCTAGTGCTCAGCTTCACTGCCAGTTGTTACAAGTTGTGTTAAATGCTTGCAAAAATTAAGTTTTCCACTCTTGTGTTGATTGTGTTGAAACAGACCACGTGCTACACTGAGCTGAGTGCTGAAGGCGAAAAGGATGACAAGACATGACCTTTTCAGACACAATCAGCTAGAGGACAGTTCCCAGTGTCTTTCAGCTTTGGGTTCCCCTCGCAGCACCAAGTAGGGGCAAAACAGGCATCAAATGAATATCCATTTGTCTCTTTGGCAATGTTTATTGAACATCTATCAGGCAGGCCATATGATAGGTGCTGAGGCTATGTTGGGAAACCACAGAGGCTCAGGGTCCCTACAGCTCCAGCGGCTCCTGGCTCTTAGGAGACAAGCTGGGCACAGTAAGGGTCTCAAGAAGGGGTGGGGATCAGAGCCAGAGCAGAGACTGAGAGGTAGGCATGCCATTTGGCCAGAGCTACACCTGCGTCTAGAAGGGGCAGGTGCGAGACCCACATGCAGTCCCTTTGGAGACCCAGTTGTAGCCGCCAGCACCACACCGTCTACGTGGGCAAAACCCTGGGGTTGGGGGAAAGCAGAACCCATCCAGACGAGCCTGCTAGGAAGGCAGCTGGACTGTGCGCGCACCGGGGTGTGTGTGTGGGGGGGGGGAGTCGGGTTTGCTCCGCATTGGAACCAGCTTGCTAAACAGCAGACAGAACTCGGGTTCAGCGCCCAAGATCTGGAGTCTAGATTGCGATCCTAGGCGCGTGGTTTATGTGTGTCACCTTGAGCAAGTCCCTTAGATTCCCCGGAGCTCATTTTCAGCATCGGTAAAACGGGTGTCCAATAACCTAAGGGATAGTGCGAGGATTAAAGGGAAAATGTCTGGGAAGCTTCCCTAGCATGGTGTCCTGCACGTAGGACACACTCCCGACGCGGAGGATGTAATTACCTGCTGTTCAAACCTTGCCAGGGTCCCTTCGTCTCCTGGGGCATCTCGCCCACTGCTCTGTTCCAAGGGATCGGGCTACCAGCCTATTAGGGCGCGCCCTGCTTTGATGGATTTATTTGCTTGCTTGGGGCGGGGCTTGGAGCTCAGCAAGGAGGAGAAGGAGGCGGCCAGGGCAAAGAAAGGGAAGGAGCGGAGAGGCAGGAGGCGAGCGAGGCGGGGCTGAGGAGGAGTCAGGCTGGGCTGCCCCGGGCCCCGGCGCAGCGCGCACCGGGAGCCGCTGGCGGCCGCGGCAGGGGCGGGGGCTGCGCGCGGTGGCCAATGGCGCGCGGCGCTGCTGCGAGGGTGGTGCAGGAACCCGGGCGGCTGACAGCCAAACTCGCCAACTCCGCCCTTGTCCCCGCGGGATCCCGGAGCCCGAGCCGGCCTGGGGCCGAGGCTGCCCGAGCGGCGCTGCGATTCAGCGAACATGGCAGCAGAATGAGGAGGCTGGCGCCGGGTGGTGACCACCGCTGCCGCGCTGCAGCTCGAGATCCGCGCTTGGCGCGCTGCTAGTTGCATCCTTAGTCGGCCTCCTGGTGGCGGCTGGGTTATTTCATTCCGAACCCAGAGCGGGGGAGAAAGGAGAACCCGCAGCTGAGCGATCTGTGCTCTGGCAGGGTGTAGGATCGTGTGTGCAACTCGCCCGCTTGCGCAAACGACACAGGAGAGAGCTGGTCCAGGGCTGCGGCGACGCGGGCGCGGGGATGAACCGGCAATGGAGCGGCCTCGGCTAGGCGCACGGTGCCAGCCGGCGCTGCAGCCGGAGCGCTGCCTGAGCCCGGGCTCCGAGGGGCTTTGGGGCCTCGCGCACCCTGGGGGAGTCCCTGCCACCACTGCCTCCGCGAAGGACGGGGACCCCGCGTGGTGGACACTGCAGCAGTCGCGGCACTGAGGCGCTCCGAGCCTGATTCGCCTGCAGCTTGGTGCGCCCTCGGCACCTGGGCGCCTTGCCCGGTGCTCAGCAACTGGCGAAAGGTGAGGTCGGCTGCTGGAGCCTGGTGCCGGACTGGCTAGGGAGGTGTGTGTGCGCGTGTTGCACTAGAGATCCGAGCCGAGGCAGAACCGAGCGGACCTGAGCAGCCATGCTTCCCGGGGTGGGCGTGTTCGGCACCAGCCTCACGGCCCGTGTCATCATCCCGCTGCTGAAAGACGAGGGCTTCGCGGTGAAGGCGCTGTGGGGCCGCACGCAGGAAGAAGCTGAGGAGCTCGCCAAGGAGATGAGCGTCCCCTTCTACACCAGCCGCATTGACGAGGTGCTGTTGCATCAGGACGTGGACTTGGTGTGCATCAATCTGCCACCGCCTCTCACCAGGCAGATCGCCGTCAAGACCCTGGGTGAGTGACCCCCTCCCTCCAGACTTCTCTCGGTTCCTTCCTGGCTGCCTTTCTCTTCTCGCCTTCTCCGCATCACAGAAGCTTACACTGCATCTGCCCTGCCCCAGAGATCTGAGATCCTTCCCCGAGTTTACCAATCCCCCGCCTTCCCCACCTCCACGCTTCTCTCTCCTGCCTCCTGGCACCACCTGGACGCGCTTTCCCACGTGTGTGGCGCGAGGTTGTAGGGAGGCGTGGATTCCAGGGATTGGAACCAGGTGGATCAGAGGCCGAGAATAAGCGATGGGTTGCTCCTAGGGGAGAGAAAACTTGTTCCCTAGCAGTGTGTGTAGAGCCTGAGTGTGTTGATGCGTACTCGCCTCCAGAAGCGAGTGCGCAGCCAGAAATGTCTGAATAAAGGACCGCACACGTGTCTCCAGTTTTCCTGGAGGCGATTGTGTATCTACTGTCAGCAGCTGTGGTGGCCTGCTGGAGTCGTTTGTTTCTTTCCGCTGTGAGTTAGTTTAGTGTGAGGTTAGAGATGTGACAATCACCTGGAATTATTTATTCTCTGCTGGGGGATGGCGGGAGTGGTTGGATGAATTGAGGGTGAGGGTGTTCACTAGAGCATGTTCAGAGGTGTCCTAGGTTGATAAAAATTGATGTGGTAAAACCAGACGAATTTAACCTTTGAGCCCAACCTCTTAGGAGTTGTCGTCTCCACTGACTGGGAATGAGGGCTCTTGCATTTTTAGGCCATGGTACTGTAGTTCTAGAGACATGGATGCTTCGTGTTGGAAAAGGCCAGACTGCCAGTTTCCTTTGGAAGCTTGTGATGGTAGGTCCTTAATTCCCTTTGGGAATAGTTAGGAGACATAGTATTGACAGGCAGGCTGGAGGGAGTTCCCAGCCTTCCACCCTTGCCCAGGCAGTCTGAACAGTCTCTGAGTCAGGGCATCAGTGTCTCTGCTGTGCTGAGAGGAAAGACAGTGCACACATTTTGTCCACCAGCAGTTTGCACACATACCTAAAACAATCCCAGGAAGATTGCTCATTCCCTACTAGTCCAAGAAATCTGGTAGCCTGCTCTTGAAAGTTGGAGTTTTTATTGGTGAGGAAAGAGACAAAGCTTTTGACAAGATGGAACAAGGATATCTAATAGAATTCCTAAGAGGACTGGTTAAGGTTGTGGGTTTTAATATTAATTTTATTACTCTTCTGGCCTTCCTAGCCTGTTTTTTCTTTTTTTTTTTTGGCCTTGAAATGTAATTGAGTTCTGGCCAATATTTCTTTTTCTGTTTGATGGAACATTTATGTTGGGTAGCCTACTCCCTTGTTTACATTGGATCTGTGTACACCCAATAAATTATAACCAAGCTGTAGTGTAAATCTATTTATGCAGTTTATATAAAACTGGTGCCCCTTGAGGCCCATCTGTGCTACAGGACTCAGGTCTGGTCCTATCAAAAAGACTTTGTTGGAGCACTGCTTCTCTGTTCTACTGTGGCCCAGGCTTGCAGAGTGGACACACAGATCCCCAGAGCAGGGCAGTGGCAATTTGGGGAACAAGGTTCTTGTGTTCTGACCATCTCTTGGCACTTTGGCAGTGAATGTATTTGGGAAGGTTTGCCTTCATGTGTTGTGACCCAGATTTTATATTTCTGGATACTTCTGTGCTTATTTAAAAAAAAAATCTGTGAGGATTGGGGGTGTATTTAAGAGGTGAGGCCCACCCCCAGCACTGGAAAAAATGGGAATTTTTTTTCCATTGACAAAGCTATTGTGAGTTACCTCTTCAGAACTAAGCACAAGAGGCACAATAGACTTAGTTAAGTATGACTAAGGAGTAGGGTTTTGTTCATATTTGCATGGTAGGTCACAGATTGCCTTTCTTGTTAGTATTTTCCTTTTGCAGGTATGATTGTAGAAAATATGGAGGTGCTGGGTTTAGATGTGACTGGACGTTGGTCTTATGTTGGGTTTCATCATTCCTGGAAAATCCCATGAGGCTCTCCTTGCTTGGGTCTGAGGGCACAGTGGGGTGGATGTCTTGGTTGGCTTCACAGTCATGGTTAGAGGTTCAACACACACATGCAGGAAGTGAAAAACCCCAAACAGTTAGCAGGCTGGTCTGGCTGTTGGAGGTTTATAGACATTAATATTTGCCTGGAATTGAAACCAGCAAAGCTCTGACTAGTCCTGGAGATTTGTCCTTTTTTTTAACCAACATCCTGGGCTTTGAGTTGCTTGCCCAGCTATTGTGATAGATCTGTGTCCCTCCATCCATACCTATAGCTGGTGTTGGGCCTGTAGCAGGGAGGGTCTGGTGGAGGGATCCTAGAAGAATGGATGTTATTTTTTTATTATTGTTGTACTGGGGGTACATTGTGATATTTACCAAAGTTCTTACAATATATCATAGTTGAATTCACCTCCTCCATCATTCTTCTTAATCCCCCTCCCCCCATTCCTGGAATAGTTTCAACAACTTTCATTTTTCCATTTTTATACATGAGCTTGTAATATTTCCACCTTATTCTTATTCACCCTCCCTCACCCTTTCTTTATGTCCTCCCCCTCCCCACTGGCATCAACCCCAGACAGGACCTGTTTTATTTTCCTGTTCTCTGTTTTTGAAAAGAGACATTTTTGTCTGTATAAGCTAGCTATACAGGGTATTTCATTGTGACATTTCCATATGTATCTTATCTGTACACACACACACACACACACAGAGTTGCGTGTAGAGCTGGCTCTCCATATGTATCTTATATGGAAATGTGTATGTATTATAATCCCAGTTGGTTCATCCCCTCTATTTTTCTCCTTTCGAGATGAGACTTTGAATCATTTGAATCATACACATCCTCCTTTAGTTTCTAAAACTTTCCTTGAAATCCCTACCTCAGTGAATACATTTCTGTTGTAGAGACATTTCTACCACGTGCAAATACTGCACTGTCCAAGGCTGCCTCTTTAGTAGGGACCTGTTGTGTGGTAGGCAGGGTGGGAGGTTGCTCTGTATAAATCACTTAATTTTGTGACTAAAATACTCCTCTAAGGTATACATATATTAGTCCAATTTTACAAACAAAGCCACTGAGATTCAGAGAGGTGAGTTTGGTTGCCCAGGGGCACACAGCTAGAAATTTGTACTCCTCTTTCTGCCTCTGCCAGTCATGTCTTCCTCTTCCACCTTCTAAGTGGCTTCTTTTCCTCAGTTCCTTCTGTCAGATACTGGCTGAGATTGTTGACAATGTCCTGTGTTTCTTTTCAACCCCACCCATGAATTCTGTTCCCACACCAGGTTGATGTCATCCCTTGAATTCTTCTGTATCTGTTCCCCCTTCTGTGACATCACTTCCCACACAGAAGTCTAGGTCCTCACCTAGTTTCTGAATTAAGCCCACTCCTGCCTCTGGCTTCCTTCCACACTGCTGCCAGTTATGTTGAAGACCTACAGACCAGTCTGTGCCTGTTTCCCCTTTCAGAGGTTCTTCCCTGTCACTTAAGTTCAAGACAAGAGTGGGTCTCTAAGGAGCCAGTCTGGGCTCACGTTGTGCCAGTGTCCTAGAACCTCATAGGGTTCAGCTTAGCCATGTTCCTGGTGTTTCCTTGGAGGGACACTGGGAGCTCACGTGTCCAAGCCTTTGTTGGAACACCCTTGTCCTCTGTGGTGGCGACTAAAGATCATGTGTCCATGAAGATTCAATGTGTGTTATCACCTCTGCTTCCTCAGCTTCACCCCCTCCCTACCTTTCTGGATTCTCAGCACTGTGTGCCTCCATTTTTTTACCACCTATTTGAATGCATTTGTTTAAAATTTAAATTTTATTTAGTTATTTTGGATAGTATCCACATGGTAAAAATTCCAAATGCTGTAAGAATACACAGTGAAGAGTAAATGGCCCCAAGTTCTTGTCTTATGAAGAGGCAATCAGTGTTGTCATTTTTTTTTCCATGTCTCCTGGTAAGGATTTTTCTAGGTGTATACTAGCAAATACATGTGTGAAAAAAAATTTAAATCACTTTTTGCAGGATTGGTAACACCTATTCACATGGTTCTATGCCTTTTGTGATGCAGCAATGTTATCGAGTATATATATTAATATAATTCTAATACTATCTTGAAAAATTAATATTACGTAAATGTAGGTACATTTATATACATATCTGTACACACACACACGCACACACACAGAGTTGCGTGTAGAGCTGGCTCTCCATATGTGTGGATTCTGCATCTGTAGACTCAATTGTGCATCAAAAATACTTAAAAAAATTGTATCTGTGCTGAACATGTACTAACTTTTTGCCTGTCATTATTGCCTAAATAACAAAGTAGGACAGTTATCTATATAGCATTTACATTGTATCAGGTACTACAAGTAACAGAGACATGGTTTAAAGTCTTTGGGAGGGTTTGTGTAGGTTGTGAGCAAATACGTTATCATTTTATGTAAGGGACCTGAGCAGCCATGGCCTTCGATATCCTGGGGAATCCTGGAGCCACTCCCTGCAGACACTGAAGGACAACTGAATTCACGTGTACAGATGTATAATAGAAACATAACATGTTTATATATTTATATGTAAAACTCAGAATGCAAAAGTATCCTTGCTCTTTTTTTTGGCTATGTAATATTTCACTGTATACATCAATCCAAATTTTTAAAGCAGTTCCCTATGGCTCAGTATTTAGGTTATTTCCTCTCTTTTGCTTGTACAACATGAAATGAATAATCTTGAACATCTGTCACTTTGCACACACATCAGTCTACCTGCAGGATAAATGCATGACCCAAAAGCTGGCCAGGGATCACGTGCTCATCTCATTTAACAATGATATTGCCACATTAGCCCCTGAAACGACACTGTTTTCTCAGTTTCCCTGTGTGCGTCTCCCTGCAAAGCCCTTGGCTGCCAGTTGTCTGAAGATAGCAAGGATGGTTTTGCTCATTTTGTGTCTAGAGTGGCTCGGGGCTCAGGCCAGCACCAGTCCACAGCCAGCCATGGGTCAG